CTGCGCAGTCTGTGGACGTGCGACTGCGAACTGGCCCTGCTGCCTGTGGCCCAGCTGCTGCGCCTGCAGCCCAGCGCCTTCCAGCTGCGCGGCGACCAGCTGGCCGTGCCGGGCCCCGGGGAGCCCGCGGCCGCGCGCGGCGGTTTCAATGTCTTCAGCGACGGCCTGGTGCGCCTCGACGGACAGGTCTGCCGCCTCAGCGGCTACATCAAGAGGTGGGTGCACCCCTCCCTGGTCGCCGAGGACGCCACCCTGCTGTCCTCCTGGGGAGCCTGACTCTGCTGTCTTCCCGCCACCCGCCAGGAGCCCCCTCCGCTGTCCAGCTCCTAGAACTTCTCGCTAACGGGGAGCTCTCACGCCTTGGCTCTTTTGTGCTTTGCAGGGACATTTTGCAGCAAGGCGAGCATTCCTGCTGTGTGTGCTTAGGGGCGCACAGAATGAGAGCGTTGGAGCTCGTTCGGTCTCCACCCAAAGCGTGCATAACTTCTCATGGCCACTCCTTAAAAGTCAGATGAGCTCAAAGTGGGATACACCCGTTGGTGGGGTGTTTGCAGCTCAGAACAGTGAAAGACTCACACCCTGGTTTGAGATGTGTGCGGTGCAGGCGGGAGAAGAATGCAAAATTTCCTTACTTGATTATCTAGTGAGAAGGCCCCGGGCCCAAGCAGGCGCCAACAAAAGAAAAAAAAAAAAACATTGCTGGCCAGTGGACTCTTACTCAGAGCTACCCTCATCGGGCTGTCAAGGCTGTAAATCTTTAAGGAAGTAGATTGCCTCATCATCCTCCCACAGAGCCCCTGGTGGGTTTGAACCTCTGACCTTCTGGTTAGCAGTCAAATGCCTTACCCGCCAGGGAGCATATGAAAATTCAAGGCTTCCCATCTTTGGCCTCTGGCTGGTGGCATAGTGCCTAAGGCATTTGAGTGCTAACCAGAAGGTCGGCCCAGCTGCTCCATGGGAGGAAGGTGGGGCAATCTACTTCCGTAAAGATTTACGGCCTTGGAAACCCAATGGGGGTGGTTAAAAGTCCCAATATACTCCATGGCAGTGAGTTTGGTATTTTTGTGTGTGTGTTTCTAAAGAGAGAAATTAACCAAGGGTGAGAAGTGAACAGAGCTGGGAAGGAGTGGGCAGATAAGTTGGGGGAAACCAAATATAATGGGGTTCTTGTCCAGAATAGCAACACAGAGGCGGCCAAACACAAGCCTTGAGCCTTGGGAGGCCCCTGGGATGGTTTACTGCTGTGGTCTAACTGCTGGGCAGAGATAAAGCAAGAGGAATGTGTTCCATCACAGCTGGCTTTGATCTTGATCTTGGTAGGGTAAAGAGGGTTGATTCTGCTCTGACCTCAGCCTTCAGGACATCTCCCCCCACCCAGGGGGGCAGTCCACCAAACCAAAAAACCAAACTCACTGAGTCGATTCCAACTCAAAGCGACCCATACTGGGATTCCGAGACTATAAATCTTTACGGAAGTAGATCGCCCCATCTTCCTTCTGTGAAGCGGCTGGTGGGTTTGAACTGCTGCCCTAGAGGGTCACAGCCCTCTTCTATTTGTACTTCGGGATTGAGTGTCGGGAATCCGGCCTGTCCACTCTAAGGTTTGAGTCAGAGATGAGAAAGCTGGCCAGCTGTTACGATTTCATGCTTTCGCTGCAGAAAAGACAACCACGCAGTGGTGCCAGGTGGGAGGGTTGGAGCCAGGAGGTGCCAGCAAACAAGATGAGCTTTTTCAAATGCCTTCTTCCAAGGTGCTGAAACAAGCAAAAACAAACCTGCGGGAGGAAGTGGGAAGAGAGCTTTCCATCGTGGGAAATTGCAGTCAGTGTCACGAAACAAAATGTGTATGAACTGCTTCTATTTGGAAAATGAATTTGCTCTGCCAGCTTTCACCCAGATCACAATAAAAATTTATGAAGGAAACACAAACAAACCCGAAAACCACTCACTCTTCCGTTTCCCAGAAAGGATCTCTCCGTTTCTCAGTGAAATGTGAGACTGACAGCCCGAAGCCAGGGACCCTGGGAGGAACTGAGTCAGAAATCAGATTGTGAAGATTAAAACAAAAACGAGTAACACTGTGTTTGAGAACAGAGTATGAAAAAGGAAAATGTCCAGAATTTATTGAACTTATTAAAATAATTTTAAAATGTGGTCACTGGGACGTGTGCTTTGAACACCAACCATGCAAAGGAAAATTAAATAGCAGTGGTCCCCTGGCGGCCCTGCATGGCATCCAGGCCAAACCAGTGACACAATGGCCAGGGTGAAAACGCTAATCAACAAATCGAAGAGTCTCAGGCTGAAGCTTTGTAGCCCAGGAAGGACCAAGGGGCAGCCGAGGGTAATTGCATGATGGGAGGGACAATTTCTCTCCCTCTCCAGGGACACAAGATGGCAGGAGATAGAGGTTTATAATAGGGCGTGGACCCTGAAGGATGACTGTGAGCGAACTTGGTCTGAATGGAAACTTCTAGAAAGAGAGGAAGGACTGAGCCGTGGGAAGCAGTGAGAGGTTGATTCTCATGGAATAAAGAGGGTGTGGGCTTCCTAAAATCATAAAGACGCTGATCCACAGACCTCCGGAATCTGCCCAGGTGTCTCTGGCTTTGGGGATAGCATATAACTTCCTCCCTTGAAATCTCTTGCCAAAGCAGTGAGTTGTAATTGTTTGGGATTATATAGCGGTTTTGCGATCATATGTAGACCCTGTCCCCAGAACTGTAAATGTGGATGGATATACACTAGTGTGTAAGCGCTTAGCTCAGTGGTTCAAACCCATCAGACACTCCGCGGGAGAAAGATAATGCACTCCGCTTCCATAAAGGTTACAGCCTTGGAAACCCTGTGGTGCAGTTCCACTCCGTCCTCTAGGGGCGCTGTGAGTCAGAATCGACTCCACGGCAGTGGGTGTGGTTTGGGCTTTGCTTCTGTGAAGACTGACAGCCTTGGAAACCCTGTGGGGCAGTTCCAC